AGCTCTGCATTCAGAGAACGCAGTGTTGATTGATTGATTTTAGTGATTATTGCACATAGTAAAAGAAACAACAAAAAAAAAACAAGAGATAAAAACACTTATTTCCAACATAAAACACTAAAAACAACAAAAATCCACAAACAATTTTCACAAAATCTAAAATGTCAGAAAACAAGAACAGATTTATGAATCTGCTCTTATTAAAGACCTGATGTGTACCTGACGGAGGCAAACTCAGTTTCAGCTCCGCAGTTCAAACAGAACAAGAATTTTTACTGATAAACTTACTTACATAATATTAGATTTTTTACAATCTGTGGCTCAGAGGACGTTCAGCTCATCGCTATTTATTTCTTAAAGTGAATGAACGTCTCACTCACCGTCCAGTCAGTTCTCTTCTTTTTATTGTGTCTGTTTTGTCCCTGCAGGGCTCCTGTAGGGGCCTTGGGCCCTGCCAACATCCAGGACATGGAGCTGAGGGAGGAGTGGCAGGACGACGGCTTCCCGCGGTCAGACTCTATTTGTTCTACTTATCTCAGTTTCACTCTCAAGTTTCTGCTCTGATTATATAAATGATAAATCGTTATCAATAATCTGCTATATAAAACAAACCTGCTGAATATGACTCTTGTGTGTTTGCTGTGGGGAGTTCAGTCCTCTCCCAGAGGATTGTGGGAGTCCAGAGGAGGCGGAGAGCCCGTCAGGTGGTGAGCAGCAACCAGGTGACACATTTTCCCCCCAATTAATTTACTTTATAAAGAAAACAATGAAGAAAATAAGAAAGAGGTTCATAAATATTGAACCATATATAAAAATAAGTGTCAGTGGTCGTCTCAGAATCTGAACTTTAATAAATCCTGAAAATGTAACTTTAAACGAATAACAGCTAATAAAACAGTGTCCAACTTTTATTCATAGGATATAAAGAAAGCATGTGTGTACTGACACTAATGATATCTGTTTATTTTTATTGCTCATTCTCATCAATCAACCAATCAATTATCATACTAATTATAGTCTTTGGGCACAAATCTGTTTTCAAGATGTCATAGATTTGATTGGTTTCTTTAACTGGAATTTCTTTAAATATGAAGTTTTGAAAAGATCTTCTGTAAATAAGTCTTCGTTCCACATTTCTAACATAAGTTTCACATCACATAAATATATTAGAATAATCATAAAATTCACAGGAGACATAAACGTTATTTCTGTATTTTCTTTTAGTAACTGGGAGGCAGCCGTCATGCGTACACAAACACGTAGTTAAAACAAGTACAGACCGGTAACCCGAACCCTGCAACAGTTACGTCACTGCAGTTTCACACTGTGGAGGCAGAAAAACATCGTAAACAAGTAAATTAGAGAAACTGGGAGATCTGGAATAAAATAAAAACTGTCTTTTAGCTGGATAACATTAGCTTGCTTTCTAACATTGAAAATTGCTAGCTAGCTAATGTAGCAAAATTGTTGGTATACACCTTAGCTTTGTACCATTACGTAATTTATTGTTGACCAAAATCAGTATCATGGATCATGTTAGCTGGGGAAGCTAACATTAGCTAACTAACATATCCACTCCATAATGTTAGTGCACAGTCAAGCTAAGGTTAGCCAACCAGCTGTAAAACAGCTGCTAACATTATCCAGCGGGGCACCCGTTGCCGCTGTCTGGCTAACCTTTGCTTGACCGCACTCTGACATTAGTGTATGCAATTAGCTTAGCACTGCTGGCTACTGTAGAACACCAGTTAGGCTCTGCCCACAAAATCAGTGTCCAATAACCACAGCCTCAGAGGATGCAGGGTTGTGGAAGTCTCTCTATGACATTTGACCTTACTTCACCACTCTGTCCTCTGCTCATCAGCCCCACCCACCAGCCTCGCTCTGTCAGGAACAGTTGGGGGCGGGACTAAGAAGCGCCTGACGGCCCCGACTCTCAGTCTCACTCTGGGACACAGAGACTCTCGTGACCCGAGCTGTGACGGCCTCTCTGCCGCTGCACTGTCGGCTACGCCAGATGAAACGCCGTCACTCGACATCAACCTGGAGGCGCTGGAGACGCCATCAGGCAGTGAGACAGGAACACTGCCAGACAGCGTGCACGAGCTGGAGTGGGAGGGTGAGACTTCTTCAGTAAAACAACTTGACTTTGTTCGTCTGTAAATACTTGCTGTTACTAGGGTGATCACAAGTGTTTATTCAGGTTTAGAGCTGCATGTCGTCTGCGTAGAATCGGACTCAGATGTGTTAATAGAAACTTAAACCTCTGACTTTTAACTTCTGTCTGACAGATGACCTCCCCCGGATGGCGAGGGGCGGGGCCGGGGCTATGGCCAGGAGCCCAGTGGAGCATTCGGAGGGTCTGATGGAGCTGGACCAGGTGGACAGCAGGGGGCGCCGCTGGAGGAAGTTCTGCATCTCCGGGCATGAATATCACGTCAACATGAGCGTACTGGAGCCGTACCTGCAGGTCCTGTCACACGGAGGTCAGAGGTCGCTGAGAAAGTCACATGGTTCAGTCCGCTCAACACTGTAAAAAACAAAACAAGTTAAAAAATGGTAATATTCCAGCAGCTGGAGCGCCAAAAAAATAACAACCAGTAAAAACACAGAAAATAACTGACTCGTAAAAATACAGTAATTTTTAGAAATTGTCTTTTTAATGTTTAATTAAATACATTTACAGAAGAGTGCTGTTATTTGATTTTTCTTATTTTAATCAGAATTTTAAAAGTTGTAGAACTGTATTAAAGGTAATTATATGTAAAATTAATTACAGTAATTATTTGTTTTCACTGATAAAAACTATGAAAAAATATGTGAGAAACCAGATTGTTTTTTACAGTGCAGTATATAAATAACGTAATAATAATGACATCATAATACTGTCACATCAATACATAATAATGTAATGGTCGCATATCAATGTACAGATTGAAGTATTGTGTGTACTGAGTACCAGAATATTTACTGCAATTACTGCACTACATGTGGGAGGATGAGTAAATAATAATGTCTATGATGATGATGTTATATAAGAGAAAAAAGAACACACTGAGGCTACAAAATAATGTGCATTGCCATCAGTGTTTCCCCTAGGGGTACTTTAGAGTACTGCAGGGGTTTAAAAAATATCAGTCATGCATAATTCCTAAAAACTAAATTAAATTCAGTTAAAAACTGTAAGTTTGATGAACCACATTTTAATTTCAATGCCGTAAAACGTCACAGAAGAAGAATGATGATGTATCATATTGTATAATATTGTAATTTAGATAATTGATTAATTTCATCGGGCTTGATTGATAGATATAACTGTGTATCATCTGCATAGCAATGAAAGTTAATGGAGTGATTCCTAATAATGTTGCCTAAAGGAAGCATATATAAAGTAAATAGTATTGGTCCAAGTACAGAACCTTGTGGAACTCCATGATTAACTGTAGTATTTATTGAAGATTCATCGTTATACTTATGTACAAACTGAGAAGCGATTGATAAATATGACCTAAACAGCTTAGTGCGGTCCTTTAATGCCAATTCGATTGCTCAAGTCTCTGTAAAAGAATATTATGGTCAATGGTTTCAAATGCAGCACTAAGACTAATAATCACTGTCTACAGATATAGATACTCAGACGGCATTAACCAGCTTCAGTTGTGGTTCTGGAAGCAGACACCCTCTCCAACATTTAAGGAGTAGGCTTAAGTACTTTCCTTGAATAAAGGCTTATAGATTAGGGGCTTGGATCAGGTGAACTCTGACCATCTCTTATTTATTGCTGCGTATAGGCCTAGATATCGGGGGAATCTCCCGATGGGTCACTGAGCTCTATCTTCCTCTCTCGTCTTTTCTGCACTTATATCATGCTCTCATCTAATTGCATCGTTACTAACTTTCACTTATTCCCTGGCAGTTTATTGTGCTTTCTCTCGTCTCGCAGGTTCTCATGATCTGGTGGAGCCTCTGCCATGGGTCTGCTTTGATACCGTTGCTGAATATCAAAATGAATATTATTGTCGTTTATTATTATTGAGGTTTATTATTAGTATTATCATTGGCTACAGTTTATTGTTTGTTACTGTTGTCGGCTGCGCGCTGTCTCCCATCGTTGGCTGCTTCGTCGTCGTCCATCATCTTCTTCATGTTCATATAGTGTATTGGTGGTAGTTGTTGGTCTGTCGTCCTATCTGTCTCCCCTTTTCTCTCTCTTCTCTCGATCCTTCTCTCTCTCTGCCTAGGTTCTTCTTCCCCTGTCTCCAGGTCTTGCTCATGGTGGTACTGTTTGGGTCTCTGTAAATGTTAGTTAAGGAGTTCGGATCTAGACTGGAAAAGTGTCCCTGAGATAACTTCTGTTATGAATTGGTGCTATACAAATAAAATTTAACTGAATTGAATTGAATTAATTAATCATAGATAATTCATTATTAAGATATTGTTTTTGTTAATTCATCATTATATGATGTATTCGCTGTGTTTCTTCTGTCCTGTTCTTTACAGTGAAATGCTTATACTTTTTGCATTCTAGCCTTCATTTCCTGTGTTTACCTGTCCAGGTGTGGTCTCTAGGCTGGCTGCTCCGCCCCCCTTAGTGTCACTCCCCCCTCTGCCCCCCCGGCCCCCCCTTATGGAGAGGATGAGGAAGATCAAACGGCAGCTGTCACTCACTCTGGGGAGGGGAGGGGCCGGGGGAGGGGACAGGACGCTGAGTGACACAATCAATCAGGAAGTGACATCACACAGTGACTCAGGTGACTCACACACACACACACACTCAATCAACAGGTAGATCTGACTGATCACAGACAGCGACGCTGGTAGCAGTCAACAACAAACGTACACTAAAATTCCTTAAATATTACTGAATTATTACAGTAATATTCCCTCATTATAACTGAATTATTACAGTAATGTTCCTTAATTATTACAATAATAATTCAGTAACATTCCTTAATTATTACAGTAATATTACCCTATTTTCACTGAATTATTAATGAATCATACAGTAATATTCCTTAATTATGACAGTAATATTCCTTAATTATTACTGTATTATTACTGAATTGTCACTGTATTATTAATAAATTATGACAGTAATATTCCTTAATTACTCTCCATCTCTCCTTCATCTCTCCTTCACACTTCCTCCTCCTCTCCTTCATCTCTCCTTCACACTTTCATCTATCCTTCTTCTCTCCTTCATCTCTCCTTTACACTTCCTCCTCCTCTCCTTCATCTGTCCTTCACACCTCCTTCATCTATCCTTCTTCTCTCCTTCATCTCTCCTTTACACTTCCTTCTCCTCTTCTTCCTCTCTCCTTCACACCTCCTTCATCTATCCTTCTCTCCCTTATCTCTTCTTCGTCTATCATTCATTTCTACTTACCACCTCCTTCATCTATCCTTCATCTCTCCTTCACACCTCTTCCTCCTTTCCTTCATCTCTTTCATCTCTCCTCCTCTCCTTCATCTGTCCTTCACACCTCCTCCTCCCCTCCTTCATCTCTCCTTCGCACCTCATTCACACCTCCTCCTCCTCTCCTTCATCTCTCCTTCACACCATCTCCTCCTGTCCTTCATCTCTCCTTCACACCATCTCCTCCTGTCCTTCATCTCTCCTTCTCTCCATCTCTCCTTCACACCTCCTTCATCTATCCTTCTTCTCTCCTTCATCTCTACTTCATCTATCCTTCTTCTCTCCTTCACACCTCCTTCATCTCTCCTTCAAACCTCCTCCTCTCCTTCATCTCTCCTTCACACCTCCTTCATCTCTTCTTCATCTCTAATTCATCCTTTTCATCTCTCCTCTACACCTCCTTCATCTCTCCTTCATCCCTCCTTCATCTCTCCTTCATCTCTCCTTCATCCCTCCTTCTCTCCTTCATCCCTCCTGCACACCTCCTCCTCCTCTCATTTATCTCTCCTTTACCCCCCATCAGAGGTGGTGTCTCTTCGTGGTTCTTCTGGAGGTTTGAAGGTTCGAGGTTCCTCCTCTTCAGTTCAGTCTCTCCTTCAGTCGTACAGCAGCTCACTGAGGAAACCTCGAGGCCTCGGACGCAGCCTAAGCTCCTACCTGAACCACACCGCAAGACTGGGTACTAATACTTCAAATACATGTACAGATACTGCACAACTGGGTACTAATACTGCAGATACATGTACAAATACTGCACAACTGGGTACTAATACTGCAAATACATGTACAAATACCGCACGACTGCGTACCTATACTGCAAATACATGTACAAATACTGCACGACTGGGTACCTATACTGCAAATACATGTACAAATACTGCACGACTGGGTACTAATACTGCAAATACATGTACAAATATCGCACTACCCAGTCCCTCTAGAATTTCACAGGCTGTTTTGGTGATTTCATGACGATGCATGCTGCAATGTTTTATGCATTTTTTTGCAATGAAATTTCAGGCGAAAGTGAAAATTAGAAAAAATATTTTTGTAAATTGTACAAATACAATAAACAACTATCTATCTATCCGCTATTGCTGTGAGATAAGGCGATCTTTAATATGATCACTACAATCTGATCGTTAATCTTATCCTTACAATACTCTACCCACGGCTTCCATAGTTCTAAAATATATTTGGGAGAACTCTGGTTTTATGTTATTTTAATTGTCTTTAGCCTGATTCGTAATTTTAGCTGCTAACTAGCTAGCATTAGCTTTTACCAGTCAGAGTACAAGAATATGCTAGTAACGCTACATAAACAGGGACTTTATTTGTCTGTGACAGCAAACACAACACACAGTAACTATAATAATAATAATAATAATAATAATAATAATAATAATAATGTGTGTGACTGTGGGTATTACTATGTATTAGTGTGTATGTTACTATGTGTGTATATGGTTGTGTATTTTCAGAGATAGTCCACGAGGATGTGAAGATGAGTTCAGATGGTGAAAGCGATCCGGCTTCTTCTTCAGACGGTGTTCAGAGTCCAGTTAGAGTCAGACTAAGAAACAAGAAGATCTCTACGGAGGTACACAGTCACTCACACACACACACACATACCTTCAACCTTCCCAACAATGCCGGCATGCTTGAGTTGAGCCAAGCTTCACCTTCCAACACCAACCTTTTTCCTGGGATTCAGAAACAGTCCCCTCAAGCCTCACCTCAGTACACTTAAGTTCTTCCATGAGTCGTGAGAGAGGCACTTGCACGACTCCTTTATTATACAGGAAGATGACGACAAGTCTCAGCCAGGAACTGACCATTGTCTACACTGATGAGGACTTCACATTCAGTCAGTGAGGGAGCATTCTGAACTGTAGACTCCAGAGTTTGAGGTTTCCTCGAAGCAAGTTTCTGTTGATGGTCTCAAGTAGGAATGCACCTGAATTTGGGTATGTGCTGATATAGACTGCTGATCCAATTCCAGTGTTAAATTAATCTGTATGCTGTATGCCTATGGAGTCACTGTGCTAGTCCTCGCCATGTCCACGTCAGACTATCTGAACTCTATCTGATACAAACTGACCTTTTTACCAAAGAATGCTTACCCTAATATTCAGGCCTCTTTTAATGTGCTTTTAATCTTGAAATCTGTTAAGCTGATTTGTGAGCAGTCCTTTTCTTCTTGGACGGTGTCCATAGACGTTGACTTCATGCAATATCCTTGACACTGTCTGAGCAGCCAGTGGAAGTTCAACAGGAAAAACTAGTGCCAAGTCAGAACTACTTCCCTTTTGTCTTTCTGTGTTTTTCAGTGCAAGGTTGCATATATAACAAATTATGTGTGTGGTCATTCTTGGAGGACGACTACTGTCACTGTTCATTTTAGTTTCATTAAGGTAAGGTGTATAGCACCAATGTAGAAATTATTGAAGTTAATTGATGAAGATCAATAGCAGAAAAACTAAATATCTAAGTATATATCTGATTTTACAACCCCAATTCCAATGAAGTTGGGACGTTGTGTAAAGCGTAAATAAAAACAGAATACAATGATTTGCAAATCCTTTTCAACCTATATTCAATTGAATACACTACAAAACAAGATATTTAATGTTCAAACTGATTTTTGGGTTGGTGCAGAGCCTGGCATGCTTATGATGATGCCAAAATGAGCACCATTGTGTTGACTTTCGGGGGTAAGAAGTTTCCTTGAGGGGAGAATTGCAAATGTTCCTAGCGGCCTGTTTTCTCCCCCTAAAAGCTTTTGAGATGTTTGCCGCATACATTCAAATGGCCACAACTTCGTTCAAGATGTTATCAGAATTTTCCATGTGCTTTACGACATCATTGTAAGCTTAGAACTACACTTTCTGTAAACTAATCAGACTTGTTGCGTGGCGTTCTCGGTGGCTGGTCACATATGGCTTTCGCTTTGCATGGTAGTTTTAACTTTGCATTTGTTTTTCTGACAGATGTTTTCTGAAGTGTTCCTTGGAGGCCCAGTGTTGGTAATATGCTTTAACACATGACATATATATATACAAGCCATCTGAGCAAGGGTCACAGACATTCATGTTGGTTTTCGCCTTGCCGCTTACGCTGTAGGGGAAGATTTTCTCCATATTTCTCTGAATCTTTTTTGCATGATATTATGGACTGCTAGATTATGAAATCCCTAAGATTCCTGCAATTGTACATTTAGAAACATAGAGACGCTTTATTTGCTCCACGCAGTTGTTAACAACAGTGGGTGAACCTATGCCCTCCATTGCTTGTGAATGGGACTTGGGGCCTTTCCGGGGGATGCTCCTTTTATACCCCAAATCATGACACTACCTGTTTCCAATTAACCTTTCACCTGTGGAAATGCCTTCCGAAACAGGTGTTTTTTAAGCATTCCTCAACCTCTTCCCAGCTTTTTGTTGCCCTGTCCAGCTGTTTTGGAAATGTTTGCAGGCATCAAACAAAATGGGTAAATATTTGGGCAAAAAAACAACCAAAGTTTATCCAAGTTTGAAACATTAATTATCTTGTCTTTGTTAGGTGTATTCAATTAATATCAACGGGTTAAAAAGGATTAGCAAAATCGATTGTTATTCTGTTTTGTATTTACATTTTACCACACACGCTTCCACTTCATTTCGGGGCCAATAGGGTTGTTACATTAGTTTGCAACGTTCCTGAACATTAGGAGAGGACAATAATACCTGTGTGTTGGCATTTGTTTTTTAATCCCCCCTCTATATTAACAATACCAATAAGAATGTTCTCATTAATTGTCATTATGTGAAAGTGCTCAATAGTGCGTTGGTCTCTTCCCTGGCACAGTGTGTGGGATTATGTATAAACCTGTTCTTTATATTTCTTTTTTGCTGTTTGTTAATAGGGTCTCCTTTTATTACAGGGCGTATATCTATTCTTCCAAATTTAGCAATTTCTAATAATATTTTATGAACTCTGGCTATTCCTTCAGATTTTTTACACGCTTTTTGCTTTTGATTGGCCAGTTGAGGTTGTACCCAGGTGCTAGTCTCTATGTTTTAATATTTTCCTCTTTATAGGGAGCCGATAGAGTCCTAATGTTGTTCGTAGTGAGCCTGCAGGTACTATTAACAAGATTATCAATTTTGGTAGGGAACTAAAGTCTATTATCAGACTCTGTTATATTCAGACATGGCCATGAATGTAATACATTGATGAATTAAACATTGATGGAATCTCCTCAAATTTAGCTACAGCACTGTCAGATAGGCATCTGCTGTAGGAAGTTTTGCCTAATGGCTTATAATCTAATAATATGAATTCAAAATTACATTTATATAGGGCTTTATCTTAGATACTCTGATAGGTTACCAGATAGAAGAGAGATAGGTTTAGAAGACATCTAACAAACAATCATCTAACCTGTTTGTTTTTAATTTTACATCACATACACTGCACTTCAACTTAAAAATAATAGTTATTTTAAGATTATGCAGTTTTCTAATCTTTAGTAATTAGGTGTGTACTCAGTTGTGTTATATACTGTAAGTAGATAACCGCTGCACAATGACAATGAAAAACATTCCACTCAACATTTGGAATATTTATTTGCTGAAACGGTGAAACGACTCATTGAGCTGCTGACATGGAGGGTGTATATGTGGTATTATTTTGAATTCTTAATCTCTCCAGCTGTCTTTGTTATCTCTGGAGTTTAATTCTTTTGCTTTTCAAAGATCTGTGTAGGTCCTCAGGGATTTGTGTTCTTTCTTGTTCCTTTGGAGACTGAGGGTTTCTTCCCTCAAAGTAGAAAGATGTGCCTGTAATATGGTGATTCCTCCATGTTGGATTTACTCCACTGTTTCTTCAATTGTTGGCTCTCTCTGATGAGGAACTCTATCTCTGTTTGCCTCCTTGATTTAGACTGCACCTGACTTCCCCCATTTGTTGAGTCATCTTCTCCATTGTGCCCTTTAGACTTGGACAACGAATCTTGAATCTTGACCTTGATCTTATAGAAATTAATTTAATAGCTTGAAATTAAACGCTGTTACTGTCCAGAATGAAGTCAAATACTTTCAGATTAAAGCTGTTAACATGTTTCCTGTCTGTCTCTCTCTGTTGTGTTTCAGGACATTAACAAACGTCTCTCCTTACCAGCCGACATTCGTCTTCCAGATGGTTACCTGGAAAAGTTTAATCTTATTGGTCCAGCTTTGTTTGAGCAGCCAATCAGCAGACGGCTGCGCAGAGTTTCTCTGGTATGTCTTATTGGTTCTAGTCAACCTGTTTCTATTGTGTTCTATAATGTAGGGTTAGGGTTAGCTTCATATTCGTGTTGTATTATTAACCATCTTCATTAACTATGTCTGTCTATCTGCAGTCAGAGATTGGTTTTGGGAAACTGGAGACATACGTGAAACTGGACAAACTAGGGGAGGTGAGGACATACCTGATATCCGTTTTATACAGAAACTGCTGGTCCCTCTGTGTTGGAATTGGAACTCCTCAGTTAAACCTCTGATGGATTGTATAATACCTACAGTCAATGCAGCTGATTAGCTGATCTGTAGCGTGACCTCTCCAAAGGATACAAGCAGAGAAAACATTTTCAGTGGCTGCCAGTGAACATGCAAGGACAGAGCAAGGTTCTGTTCCAGTACACTCTGTGGTGTATAAAACATACCTCATGAGGTTTCCTGTTGCTGAATTTCTTTTGTTGTGTTCCTCCACAAGGGATTCTTTGGAATACACATGGTCAATGACAAATTTATTGTCTCTTTCAGACATCTAGTAGAACGGCTGATGTTTTACTCTATTGGTTCTGAGCATTTGCAACTCTCAACAGACATAAGAAAGAAGGGAGATTGTTATCTTCTTCCATCATAATTTACACAACTGAATAAATGACCCACCTGATGATAGAGAGGCATGTTGTTTCCTTCTCACATGTACATTCATTAGTGCAAACCATTTTTGCAGTGCATAGAGAAATTGTCTCATGTGGTTTCTGTTATCTGATCAGCTCTCCAGATTGGCCTTTATAGAGACCACCGATCAAACTATTTAGAATGAATATTAGCCAATAACAATCAATGGCTGATCAGTTGGAACACCTTTACTGTCGTTCACCTGTCTCCCTCTCTACCTGTCTGTCTGTAGGGGACCTATGCTACAGTGTATAAAGGTCACAGTAAACTGACCGACAACCTTGTGGCTCTGAAAGAAATTCGACTGGAGCATGAAGAAGGAGCTCCGTGTACTGCTATCAGAGAAGGTACCACAATACTAATACTGTACTACAGTAGTATTACCACAATACTGATGCTGTACTACAGTAGTATTACCACAATACTCATATTCTAAAATAGCACTGCTCTTAAGTTTGTGCTGAATAGGCTGCTAGTATCATTACAGACAGTGTAAAACACAGCTGAGTCAGTTTACTCAAACTGAACATGTAAGACAGACATAGTACTACAGTATCAGTAGCATCATGTATATGTATATTAATGTGTGTTTTCTACTACAGTGTCTCTCTTGAAGGATCTGAAACACGCCAACATTGTCACACTTCATGACATCATCCACACACAGAAATCCCTCACACTGGTGTTTGAGTATCTGGTGAGATACACACACACACAAACACACACACACACATATTCTATAATGTGGTGTTTTGATCATTTAATTATGTTTTTGTGTTTCAGGACAAAGATCTGAAACAGTATCTGGACGACTGTGGAAACATCATCCATGTTCACAATGTCAAAGTGAGGAAAGTTTTAATGTATCTGTTACTGTCACCTGCTGCTAAAAAAAGAAAAAGAGATCAAAGAGTCATAAAAAAAAGACATTTACCCTGCCTGAGTCAGATTGCAGGTGGCTCTGCCTGCAAGATGACTGGGGGAAAGAAAACCCTCTATATTACCTTATTTGAAAGTGTTTTCATTAATTTTATTTTAATTGGACTCCAAACAGATGCTCTAAACTGCATTTATTCTTGATTCTTTACTTTTATCTGAATCTGTGAGATGAAAGAACCGCACCGTACCTGTGATACTGTGCCTTCAATTTCACATTTTTAACCTGTTTGTTCAGTTTTTCCAGTGACTGTACAGGTTTTTTTCTCCTCAGCTCTTTCTTTTCCAGTTGCTGCGAGGTCTTTCATACTGTCATAGGAGGAAAGTTCTCCACCGAGACCTGAAACCCCAAAACCTGCTGATCAATGAGCGAGGGGAGCTCAAACTGGCAGACTTTGGTGGGTTTCATGCTGGTTTTAACATGCACATGCATAGAGTGAATGATGGTCTTTACCACAAACTGTATAAAGCAACTGACAGTTAAACCGTACAGTAAAATGTACTGAAAACTTTTTGATAAACTACTACCAAAGATTTAAACTTAAAGAAGATGAGAGAGATACAAATGTATTACTTAAACATAAATCAACTCAAATAACATACATGAGAAATATACTGAAATGATGAGGTGTGTTAGTCAGTAGTATCAGTGTGTCAGTAGGTGCATGAGTGGATAAGTGATGGGTGAGGGTGTTGTAAGGTGCAAAATCAAACTAATAACCAGGCAGAAGCCAACCAAACAGAAACATGGTTCCGGAGAAATGAAGAGACAGTGAAGACCTCTGACACTAGTCATCAGACCTCTTGACACCAGTCCCCAGACTTCTGCAACTCGTCCACAGACCTCTGCAAGTAGAGGTGGAATGAAGACCCCACTGAAGTCAAGACAGCAGAGTCGCTGCACATCTTCTACTATTGGCTCAAAAACATTGGCACATCACACGCACAACATACAAAAAAAACAATGTGCTGCAGTTCATGCTTTTAGCGGTTTGTTTAAGACTAGACCAGCTTTCTACTTTTTTTCCCCATAGAGGACTGATTGTTGCTGTTGAAAGGGTTAGGGTACCAAATGAATGTAATGTAAGCTAATCATATTACTCTGGTGTTGTGTGTTTCAGGTTTGGCTCGAGCAAAGTCAATTCCGACAAAGACGTACTCTAACGAGGTGGTGACACTGTGGTACCGACCACCGGACATCCTGCTGGGCAGCACTGACTACTCCACTCACATTGACATGTGGTCAGTACTGAAATAGTACTCCAGTATACTGTAGTAGTATTCTAGTATACTGTAGTATTATTCTAGTGTACTGTAGTATGATTCTAGTGTACTGTATTACTGCTCCCATTGTCAAGTCCTCCTCTTGTTCAACTTCCAAAGGACACAAGGACAACTCAAATTTCCGACTTAATCACTTTTATTTTTCTTTGGCTTTGTCAGTTGATTGGTCTGTTCCCTAACCCTAACCCTAGGTTGTAAACCTTTAAAGACAGAGAACAAAAG